GAGTGAGTGAGTGAGTAGTAGTAGTATATCTTTATTGCGCCTTACTCTCCAAAGGGAGGTATTGGTCTGTTTACAATAAAGGTTTAACATTAACTAGTACAATAAGAAGTAACATTCACTTGATTCTTTTATAATTCAAATAAAATTAAATAAAAATCATAATGCTCATTTCGTTTGTAAGTTGAGAATCTCTTTTCTTTTTTTAAACATTAAGTTGATATATTTACCAATAACTTGAGCTATAACATTTAAAACGGCTTTGCAGTCTTAAAAATCTACATCTAGAACGCAGGAGACCGTTATTAAGCTGCATTGAAAGTCTATAGATCAACGCAGATGAGAAGAAAATTGTTACTCGACCGATACCAGTTAATCAGTGAAATCAACGTTTATGGTTTATAACCGAAAACTCAAAACTTTTTTTTTTTCATTGTGATTCACACTACTTACAACACTGGTACGTCTAATTACCCAATTTACAACAGTGATGCATCTGCTAATTACAACAGCGACAACTATTTACAGTAATACAGCTACGTACACTACTTACACTATTTAACAATACGATACAATTACAGATGCCACTTACAGTACTTTAATTTGCATAACTTACTCAACCAAAAAATACAATTACTTATTTAACTTACGATACTAACACTCACTCTACTTACAATATAATACGACTACTGATGATGCTTACATTCATATTATAACAACAGTAGTAAAACACTAATAACTGATTTTGCCACCGAGACTGATTATATATTGAAAATTGAATTAAATTAATTTAACTTTGGGATTTTTCAGTTCTCCATTGAAAAGATAGCACTGACATCAATTCAAGAAGATTGAAAGTTTTTTTTTTTTCCAACATTTTGCAAGAATAATAATATTTTTGAGTTTGCACAACTAAAATCCCAAACTTTCGGATTAGGTTTGGAGTTGTATTTGGAGAAAGATCACATGCAATCCTTAAAAATAGTAGCTGTATTTTAGATGGCGTAAAGCTAACTCTATGCTCATTATTGAACCATCAAAACCTAAAAATAGGACGAAATTTCATGAGATATCCAGTGGAGGCAAGAAACATAATCAGAAACAGCCAGAAGAAGAAGCGATCACACGCGACAGCCACAGCGCGCCAGACCTTTCTATTGTCATCTTCTGCGCACTCATTGTCCTCGTTTAAGACGACTGGCTTTTCTTCGGGATCAACTTGTACTGGGACATGTGCAGTTACATCTGCATCATCTCCCACAATGGTTATGTCGTTTGCTACGGCATTTCGTTTTGACAGGAATTTCTTCAATTTTAATTTGCTTGCACGTTCAATCCCTTTCTTTGGCTTGGGTTTCCGCACTCTGCATAGGGCCTTGAAACAGGCAGGCGGCTCGCTTACGGAATGGTACACCCTTAACACAAGAATGGTGGCCATCAGTGCGGCAGCTATCTCGACCATCGTAATGGTGTAATATATGCCGAGGATGGGTAGTGTGTCTGACTTTTCTGGCAGCATGTCGGTCATTATGATCAGATAAAAGCTGACTGAGATCATAATGGTGGCACAGAAGCCGATTCTCTCTCCATTTTCGGGAGGAATGGCAAAACTGATCAGAACCAGCATGGTGCAAAGCACACAAGGAACAATCAGCAACATGATGTAGTACAACGGTCTGCGCTTAATTTTCAGGCTGTATTTGGCAAAGGAGTATTTTTGGGCCGAATTCACTCTTTGCTCCATTGCCGAAAGGTACATTGTTTCGTTCAGGCATTCAATTTCCCATTCTCCATTGTTGTTATGGAGTTTCTCTTTTGTTGGTTGGCATTCATCTGAAACAAAAAAGAAAATTTACTTATCAGGTACAGGGCCTAGCAACTATTCTTTTAAGGGAATAATATACAAGCAACAGTTAACAGCACAAAGAAATGAAATGGTCACAAATAAATTTGGAACAAAAATAAAATAACTGAACAACTTCAGACATGTGTACCGGAGTTAGTGACCTCTATGCAAACGATCAAACATCACATTTTTTTCTGCTGACTAATTTGTGGTGTCTATTCTGTGGTGTAATAAAGTATTTTCAGTCTACCTCCAGGATGTATTGAATGAATGCGGAGTGACTCGCTTCCGTACGTGGCAGATCCAAAGAGAAGGTAGCATTGCTGCTCGTCGAAAGGAAACGAGCTGATTTCAACATTACATCTGCTTTCAATATTTGCTGGAGATTCCCAGTTGCATGAGCCATCGTTGTTGAGCACTACCCAGTTCTTGAAAATTTCGGTGTGGCCTGCTTGGAGAACCTGTTTATCTCCACTACAAAGCAACAACAAAGTGTCAGTTTAAATATATTAGTGGTAAGATAGGTGGTAAGCAGGATTTCAGTTCAAGCATGAGTATATTTACATAAAATACATTTTTTCACATTTTTTTCGTGTAATTTGCACGGCTTTGTAAAAGATTGCTTGACTGTGAAATGAATACCAATGTAAATGAAGATACTATTATTATTAGGCGGTTCATCTGCCAATCTGTACAGCTACCTCAGTCCCACTTACTTATTGTACAGGACGATATCTGGAACCCAAATTTCTTTTGAGCTGACATGGATTCTGTCGATACCTCCATACTTGTCTTTGTCCCAAACGAGAAAGGGGTTATTCCACTTCTGAAAGTATATCAATCACCAAAAAAGTTGTTATACCACACAACGGATTGCTTTCAGGTACAATTAGAGGACAGCGATAGGTTTGCAATCACTGGATGAATAATGCTGAGTCGAGCTCGGTTTTCAATATACCATGAATTTTTGAACAAACCTGTGAGATCCAGACACTTGTTAAAAGCATTTGGCGCTTGCTTTCCTGTAAAATTAACGGCTGATCATGAATTATTGAATTACCATGTTTATTCTATCTCGGAGCATTGCGTGATCATTCTAAATGATGGCTCCGAAGAAGACTACGTGGCGCTAATTTTCGCGTCATACCTACAGACAGCAGAATTCTTGCGTGTGCCAGCGACGCCTTTTTCAATTTATCAATGGAAATCGAATACTAATGTACGTCACTTGTGTAGAGCTGATGCTCCAAGGGCGTTCCAGAAAAAACAAACAAACAAACAAAAAAACAACAACAACAACAACAACAAAAACAAAAACATTACCTAAAGGTACAAAAAGATCAAAATTGTGACAGGATGTATTCGAAAACAGGGATAAAAATTCCACAATCATTTATAAATGTGTACGATTATTCAAAAACTACATGTTTTGGCTAATTAGTGACACAAGCTTGATAATTTTTGATTCTCGACCTCTGCCAATTTTTTCCAAGTGTACGATGGTTGAGCAACATCGATCTGGAATTATTATTAATCGATGCCATCTCTTTGCTCCTTATTCTCGTCAGCAATGATGCATGGAATTTCTCTATATCAACAGGCAAAGAGACAAAAGGCAGTCACATTAACAAGAAGAAAGATAGATGGACTCATAAGGGTAAAAAAAGATCGCGGACCAACATAACAGGTAGTGGATCAAAAGCTGGAAGTATTGTCAACATCTCAAATGCTAATTAAGGACATACCAAATCAGCCAATGCCCAAACTGTCAGAGAAAAAGACACATTTACAGCATCAGAACTTGATGTGACTGGGCGAACCATGACGTCCATATTCCTTAAAAGCTCCTGACGCAGTTTGTATTCCTCTGAGTCATTGACGCTTAACGTAACTCCTGAGGTGGAAATAGAGAAAAGCTTTGCTTTTGCATCACTTAACTTAGTGATTGGGTAAAGATTCAATCAAACAGTGGTGACAATTGCACACCTTTCCCCAGAATCTGCTCTAGACACATGCATTTCTCAGTCTTGAATGGGTCACTGGATTGTCTACGTCCTTTGCGATTGACTTAGGGTGCGTTCCTTTGGTGTGATCTGGATCAGGATCAGTGATCCAAGATCTGTCTGGATCATGGTGCATCAAAGGATCAGTCTCTCCTACACCTGATGCAAACACTCATCGTTATTGAGATTTCGGATTTGTGTGGGCTCAAACAACTAATTAATGAACCAACGCGCGTTACAGAATCCTCATCTACATTAATTGACCTGATCTATACAAATTATACAGACAGGGTAGGCTGTTGCGTCATCCTATTATCACACTAGTTTTATTCAATCCGACGGGAATGCTCGAAGGACTTGGAGAACTATAAATAACCTCATGTCTCGTCAGAACAACAAGATAGTAAAGGAAGTGAAAGTAAATGACATCTCTATCTGTGACTCTAACGAGATTTCCAACACCTTTAACGAACATTTTTCAACTATTGGGCCCAGACTAGCCCGTGAAATACCTTTAACTTCTAATGTGGAGTCGGTTTATTTAAACTATGTTCCTGAAAACTGCAATAAATTCTGTTTTCGTCCAACTAATACCAGTGTTGTTTTTACTCATCTAAATAAATTGGCCAAAACTAAAGCTACACGGCTAGATAATATCTCTGCTAGGTTGATTCGTGAGTGTGCTGATATTATCTCAGGCCCGTTATGCGATCTGTTAAATAAATCCCTGATGTCTGGCATATTTCCTGACGACTGGAAATGTGCCAGAGTGACTCCGTTGTTTAAATAGGGCGAGTCATTTGATCTAAACAACTACCGACCTATCTCAGTGATTTCCGTAGTCGCCAAAGTGTTCGAGAGGATTGTGTACGATCAGTTTTACAACTTTTTAAATAGTGAAGAAATCATCTC